TGCTCATTGAGGGGTGGTTGTTGTCCAAGAGGTGGGTAGCTTCTGGGATGGAGGTATGTTTTAGTATTAAAATATTATAATGAACAAGGTTCACTAAAGGACAGTTATTTGTCAAAAAAAAATGACCGACTTTTGGCAAAGGGTATCAAACACTCAATTTATTAGTTCTAGGGGACCTTCAGATACACATGTTATTAGAAAGTCCAGCCATGGTGTCTCCAAATGCACAGCTTATCAATTCCATTGTACCTTCAGGTCCCCATGCTTTCCACAGAGCCTGGCCATGGTGTCTCCACTTCACCATCCATACTGGTGTCCTTACAGTCAGCTGATAAAGATTACTATGGTACAGACTCTGCACACTAACGGAATTCCACCTTAAAGGTTCTGTCAATTTTGTACCTTTCCTCAAAAGGTGAATATAGGTTTGATTTCTCTATCACCTTGGTTAATGCTGGGTCAGCAATTAACAAATAGCGTAAGATGTTTATCAGATCCAAGTAGTGCCCTTCATTCTGCATACCATCCTCTAGTAGTAACGGAAACATTAAGCATTCTCAGTCCTAGATGCAGTGTCTGAAAATACACTGTTAACTTCAGCAAATGCAGCTACTTAGAAGAAACTTAACTCAAACCAGGACACACTTTCATCAATCATCCCACACCTCTCCACCACTTGAGTAAAAAAGTTATCGTCAATACAGTGGAGGAACCTCTTGGACTGTACCTGCCTGGCTATGAGGCTTTCCCTGGCAGATATCAGGGTAATTGAAGTCCCCCATGAAAATCAAGGCCTGTGATTGTCAGGTGACTCTCATCTGTCTGTAGAAGGTCTCATCAACTTCCCCATCCGGATCAGGTGGCCTGTAGTAAACACCCACAACAATGTCTCCTGCCCCTTAATCCCTGCCCGCAAGCTCTTGACTTACTCTTCATCCACCCTCACAGAGAGCTCAGTACATTCCAGATGCTCTTTCACACAGAGAGAGCAACTCCACCACCTTGCCTTGCTGGCCTCTCTTTCCTGAAAAGCCATCCATTACAAAGTTCTAGTCATGTGAGCTATACCACCACGTCTCAGTAACTGCAATGAGATCATGGCCCTGGCACACAGATCTTCAGTTCTTCCTGTTTATTCCCCATGCTGTGTACATTAGTGTACAAGCATTTCAGAGAGGAAAAAATTCTAGCATGCTGCCCCATGAGCCCTGAACTACTACACCCAGGAGTCTCTCTAACAAACCCAGTTACATTCCCATGACCCTTCAAAACTAGTTTAAAGTTCTCTCAATGAGCCCGGCTAACTCTTGCCCTAGAACACTTTTCCCCCTGCAAGATAATCTTTTTACCTCTGTTGCCAGGAGGTCTGGCATTTTGTAAATCAAACCGTGGTTAAAGAATCCGAAGTCTTGACAGTGGCAGCAATCTCAGAGCCAGGTATTGATCTGCTGGGCCTTCCTGTTTACCTCCTCATCATTCCCTACCTCTGGAGGGATAGAGAAGGACATGACTTATGCTCCCAGTCCCTTAACAAGCCATCCCAAACCCTGAAATATTTCTTCATTGCCCTTGGACTTCTCACTACTTCATTACTGCTTACCTGGAAGATCAAAAGGGCGTAATAATCTGAGGGCTTTACTAGGGGAGGCAGCTTCTTCTTTACATCAATAACCTGGGTCACAGGTAGGAAGCAGACTTCCCTGTGTAGAGGGTCATGTCTGCCTATGGGGTCTTCTGCTCCGTTTAGAAGCATGTCGCCCATTACAATGACCTGTCTTTTATTCTTTACTGAGGAGGTTTTGACTGACTAGACCTCAGTGACACCTCCAAGATAGAACAATTACAATTCTCTCTGTTGTCCTGTTCCCATTGCAGAGCACTGTTATGCAGCTGCACCTGGGAAGGTGGTGTAGTTGTTTGGCTGACATGCTTGTGATGCCTGTTGCGTCTGACAGAAACATCTTGCCATTGCTCCCTACCCTCTAAGGCATCACATTTAGTCGAGCAGAGAGAGGACAGGGAGTTCTCTGTAGCAGGGGCTCTGCCTGCCTGCTGGGTTTCTATCATGGGAGGCAGAGTGCTACTCCAAGCATTTCTCTCTCTCACACATTCCCTGATGGCCCTCAGCCTGCTTACCTCCTCTCTGAGCTCAATCACTAAGCGTAGGAGTTCGTCTACCTGGGCATACCTCCCAGCGGCGTGCTCACCACTACCATCTGACACTGTTGCCTGGGTGTCAGGCTGTTCCAAGGAGAGCTCCATTTGAGGAGCTGCATCCGAACTGGTGGGTGCAGATCTCAGGGTTGCCATGGTCTTCTACAGAGAAGTCACCATTATACTGGAACTTATATTCCTCCTGAGGATCTTTGTTTATGAAATGTCATACTATTGACCATACCAGTACAAAAATACTGACTATATTTTGTCAGCAAATTATCTGTTTCAATATGCCCTAAGATGCATTCTGGTTAAGAGAAAAATATTACTGCTAGATTATGATAAGCACTCCTTTTAGCGGCTATAATCTTGAGACTGATTTTAACTTCAGCATTTATTACATCAGGCTGCAGCACCACTAGAAACAATGCTGCTAAATGCAATGATCCCTACCCATGCATGTGTGTCAGCACTTGTGCCTCACATTACTTTGTGATGGTTTTTCTCCCCATCCGAAGTTTTCAGATGCACGTATTACACAATCACAAACAATACCAGTGTTCCTGGTAGCACAATGAAAGTAGAGAATTAAAATTCCTTTTCGACAGAAGCACAACAAGGAAAGTAGCATGCCATGAGCATGAAGCACAGAATTTGAAGACAGCAACTGTGAAACTGCCCTTCTTGTTAGCATTTCTGCAAACATCTCATCTCACAGATCAACTACACCTAAGAAATGCCACTGGAGTTTACAAAAGTGCAGAATTCAGTATTTACCTACCGAAAAAGATTTATGACATAATTAATGTTTCTATCCTAAGAAATGCAGCTCATCCTACCAAATCCTGGCAAGCTTCTAGTTTTGTTTTACCATGCAAGTGCTTACTGTGCTATTTTGCTGGCTAAGAATGTTTGTAAACTGGAAACCAGTCCACAAACCCACATGGCTCTGAACGGACGTGCACCCTGCATTTATTTTGTGTAAGTAGCACGTTGAGTACTACAGATGCTACAACCTAGAAGTCAGGGGAACGGCTGTGTTTCTGAAATAGCCGTAATTTACGATTTCAGAAAACTTTCCTAGCCCCAGAATATGCAGTACAGAAGTAGCACCAAGGCACCGCACACAATTTAAACCTGGAGCTTTACGAGGAGGTCGCAGGTTACCTCCCGCTACCTCCCATCAGCAACGCGCTGGACTCCGGCCAACGCGGCCGCTTCCACCGCCACGGCCGCACCAAACCCATCACGACAAGGCGTGAGGACCGCCCACTAACATCCCCGCCCACCTCTCCCCTCCTTTCCTTTCCTTCCCTTCCCCCCTCCCTCTCCCTAATCCCTTTCCCCCTCCCTCCCCCTGCCCGTACACTCCAGAAACTGCTGGAACGCCGGGCTGACGTATCCCCGCGCTCCTGCCACTCACGCCCGCCGCTCGGCAGCGCGCCCCCC